TTAGCACTGTTGAATCATGCTACTATTTAACACAAACTATTAAATATTACTTTTTCCTCTGATTAATATTTAGACCTATCTATTAGTTTCTATGGAGGCTGTGAGCTGTTGCCCTTTTAGACACCATTTTTGCTCCTCCATGCTGTCACAGATGCTACCAGTGTACGGTATGGGCGGCACTCAGTCTAGTGATCTATATATTTAAGTCTATGGTTTCAACTAAATGCTTTCTGAATGTTTAAAATATTAACTTCACGGTTTATTTCTGAACTAAGACGACTTACACTGATGACTGAAGACAACTGCAAAACCTGTTCAAATCTGAGCAAGGGAACAGAGTATGAACCCTTTTCTAGCCTTCATTTGTAGTTAATGAAATTGCTATTAACTGTAAACAAGTACAAAAAGATGTTACATGAATAGACTAGAACATAAATATTCAACCTTCATGGATCAGTTTCTTCGTGACCAAATATTTTTTCACTGTGTTGCTTCATGCTGAGCCTCGACTCCTGCAGGTCGTAATGGATGCCTGCACTGTCWGTCTTTGTATTTATGCACTGATGTTTCAGACATTTAAATACGGAGTCCTAGGTTTAAAATATTATAAAAAGGTGAATAATCAATGGACTCTCTCAGAAAAACAGGGTTTCCATGCCTTGGTTAACATCAAATTGAAGGAGCTTTCAAAGACTTTCCAATTTCCCTCAAATTCAAGAACTGAGTGCATTTACCTCCTGCTACCACTGAATATGTTATCATTAAATGCTTTTATTACAATGCAAATTTAATTTWAAAAATTGAATAGCATAAAAACTGTTGGGTTAGAATCAATAAAAGAAAATGGARTGAATATTTAGTTCATATCCATAATATTCATAACATTTATCCATATACCACTACAAGGATATGTCTAGTGATGTGAGATGAGYCTTTGTTGCAACCTTGAAGCTCTTCAGCAAATAAGTTGCAAAATGGTTCATTATGTGAAGAATATCAGAGTTCTGCTTCACACCTGCCAACATTTGAGGGACATTCATGTTAACAAGGAGCTGTTCAGGAAAGGGGYCATGCCCTTCTGGAGATTTGTTTAAAATCTACTCAAAATAATGCAGTTTCCGGCAATTTGAAGAGCATTTTTGCTAAAATKTAAGGGTTAATAAAACACAAAATCTGTATATTATGAAGGTAGAACACTGAAAACTAGCATTAAATATTAACTATCTGAAATCATAATTGAAACATAGATAACCCTTAATTTTTAATTTTTTTTCACACACTGAGCACCAAAAGTGAGTTTTTACTGCATCATTTGTAGTTTATATCTTCTACACCATATTACACCTCGTATCGTAACAAAACAGGCTGAGAAACCCACAGAACAAGTTTACTTCATAAAGATTATTCTACAGACTAAATGAACTATAACCAAGTAAATGTTATAAAATATTCACAGAACAATGTACTTTTTGAGTACAACTAACATGCAAATGCCCCTTCCAAAGAAGAAAAGACGACTGAGAAACTTATTTACACGTTCTACAACTACTTTTTAAATCAGACTACACATGTACACACATTTTCCATGTAGATTAGCTTCAAAATGAAACAAACAGCACAGAATATGGCCATAAAAACATTGTCTACATCTGCCAGTGTGACAGGAGCCATTCATAGAGGGGTGGGATTAATAAGATTAACAAACTCTGAGAACTGARACCAACATGTCTGATATTACTTACATATTAAAATACTCTGATWGCATCATTTCTACACACAGAAATAGAAAATACAACTTAATCTACATCACTAAAAGGAACTTAGTTATTTTGTAGTAAACTGTGGTTTTACCCAGCACATTTCTTTATATTTCTTTAAACAGGTATATGAAGGAAATATTTATTAAACAGAGGTAACTTACCGTATTTATTCGTGTATAATACAACCACCCCCCCCCTTTTGAGCTTAAAAAGCATAAAAACTTTAATCCTCAAACTACCTCCAATTTCATACAGACTTCAAGATTTTTCAGCCTTTGCAGTCTTTATACATATCAGTAAAATGATCATTGGACTGTTCGTTTTATTTTAACAACATATGTACTAAAAGGTATTTTGACAACAAATGTATATCAGCTGTAGCAGCATCATATGAATTCTGGCATTTTACACATAGTCCACCAGGAGGCGCCAACACAAAAGTCAGAGACTTCACATGAGATTTGGGCCATCTTCAAGCAGATTACTTCCTACTCGCGAGCGCCCTCTCTGGTGGGGAAAAGTTTTTTTCAGGGATACAAACTTTTTCAGAACACCGGTAGACGGCAACCATTACAGACAAACGTGTTTGTTGTTGTTGTTCCAGGAGCGGCCCGGTCACACGCTAATGTCATTAGTTCGTTATCATTACTAAGGTGCAGGAATACTTTTCCCCCCCTTTTTTTCACATCATGTCGCCTGCCTGGARCTGTTACTATCTCGCTCTGAAGCAAGGAGGAGTGTCGAGGTAAGGTCGTTTCAACTGCTTTTTACGAAGTGGTCTCATTTAAGGACTCAGGCATTTTATGAATGAAGCCGGTATTTCAGATAAAATACATAAGTAAAAATATTTATCCGAGTATAGTACTACCCCCCAACTTTATGGATGATTTTATGGATTTAATTTTACATATTATACTTGAATAAATACGGTACCTTCTATATTTGTAATGAACGTGACAAGAGTCAAATAAAAACCAAAGAGGACAGCAGATACAATAACTAAATTGAAGAGCTTAGTTTAAGATTTTAGTTTAATCTTACTTAATATATAAAATGTTATATTTGTGAATTATTTCTCAACTTTTCTTGTACTGTACATTTGTTTCATTTTTTTTTTTACTCTTTACATCTTTTCTTTTTTCCCTGGTTGACATTATTTGCAGATCAATACAAACCTCCTCTGCCTCAGACACTGTGAACACCACCGTCTCAATGCTGTTTCCATGGTTCTCCAAAAACCTGCGCACWGTTCCTGTAAACAAAAACTGCTGTCACCTTATTTACTAAAGCATAACACAAACACACAGGCAAATCTTCAGGAACAAGGAAGCTTGACAAATGAAAGAAAAAAAAATCATAAAAATATTTAAAGAAAAATAGGGAAAAAAAACTATATCTTTGCACTGATTTGTATTTGATTCWGGGTGAAAGATCATGAAATAAACAGTTCAATCTGTTTGTATTTTCTTGACCTAAACAAAAAAATGTGTGAGAATGTTTGTTTGTAAACACGTAAAAGCCTTTTATCTTCCCTATTACAGTCCATATAGCATATTAAAAAAAAACACACGTTAGCATAAAGCTGACACTGATCTACCTTAGTATTTCATTTGATCTGAAGTTAAGATATTTACTCACTGTGTAAAAACAAGCTGCCGTCATGGAAGCAGCCGAGTTAAAGGGATCCCTGATTAGTTGTAACATTAGACTTTATTTGATAAACAGATATTTTAACTGTAAAATAAAGACTGTAAAATACTGTAGGCTGTTTGGTTTTGTAAATTTTTAAAAATATATTGTAACACGGACGGAGCCATTTTATTTACACACAAAGCATTCTGGGTAAATGATGACGTGGATAGGTCCTCGGTACGAGGCCGCTAGCGAGCTATATCCACCCTGAAGGTTAATCTTGGACAATATCTGACGATCGTCTCTTTTAAATGAAACCAGTGAGCGTTGACAGAGAGGAGAAGGTAGAAATGACTCAGCCTGTAACTGAAAATATGGATGGAGGACCTCATTTTAGCTTGTTTGTCGCGCTAGTACTGAGCTAATACATTTAAGGCAATATAGCATTGGTGCTAGCGCAAAATAATACTCTAAGCTGAGGTTCTTCTTCCATGAAGCAGCTCTGTTGTCCTCCATCCATATTTTCAGTTACAGGCTGAGTCATTTCTTCCTTCTCCTCTCTGTCAACGCTCTCTGGTTTCATTTTAAAAAGTCGATCATCAGATATTGTCCAAGATTAACCTTCAGGGTGGATATAGCTCACTAGCAGCCTCGTACCAAGGACCTATCCATGTCATCATTTACCCAGAATGC